ACAAAAAAAAAAAAAAAAAAAAATAGAGACAGAGGGAGAGAAAAGTTACCCTAGGAAAACTGCTGTGTTGTACCTTATCATGAACAAAGACTTGTAGACAGGTGTTTTATGGATATATAAACATTCTTACAACACATAAGCCTTTGGTTTCATCAGCCATTGCTTTTCCTGACCCTGAATCGATTACCACAACTGCCCAATGGCAACTGCACTCATTCTGACATTCCTCCATATATTCCATGACATTCCACATTAAGGAAATACTTTTTCTTCTACTCACCTATTCATGCATTTTATTTATATTAGGCTGGACCCATCAATGCTTCATTTATGCAGTGAGATATAATCTGTAGCTATCATTATTTTGACACCCAGCTTGTCCCAGGCTTGACAAGGGATTAGTAAGAATCTCTTCAGACTGACTACTATTTTGGCATTTCAACATTATTTATTGAACACAACTAGACATACAGGACTCATTTTGTGCCATTTCTGCACTGCCCTAGCACCAGATATTTTGTTTCAAAGACCTGTATCTCTTTTTAGAAAAGACTGATGGTTAGAAACTAAGTTCTGGGTGGCAGATCTGCTCATATTTACTGGACTGTTGCTGTATACTTGCCCTTTCAGTGAGCAGAGTTGGAAAATAAGTGTGGGTGCATGTACGAATAAATCCACAGATGCACATACAGCTTAACATTTACTTTATTTCTATATTGAGACATATATATGAAATGTCTACTTATTGAATTGATCTCTTCAAACTAATACCTCAAATTCCAATCTACAACACAAGGTTTATTCCAACTCTCTCCTGTTTTTGTATCTGTAACTCTTCGCTGACAGTAAGCAGTCTAGCTCCCATTGCCTTTAATATATTTGCTTATTTGCCTTAGTGGGCTCCATGCTTAGATATACCTAATGGTTTTTTCACTAAATTATTAAGGAAGAAAGAAAGAAAGAAAGGAAATGAAGGAAGCAGGCAAGAAAGAAAAGCATGTAGTGTATACCAATTATGTGAGATCTGGTAATCTATTTATGATAAGAACATAATTCAGAGCATCAAATTAAATATTCACACATCTCATTCCCTGGTAGTAGCAGATAATAGTGCTAAAAGTTATCTTCCAATGATTTCCCATTTACTGCAATATTTATATAGAGATTTGTCATCTTTCAATATAAAAACACATATATGTTCATAAATTCATTACAAAAATAATTTAATCTACTTAAATATACTGCTGAATGATAATAATAACATTTTTGAGAAACAGGTGTGACTGGTTTCAGCACTGATGAAAGAAACCCTAGTTCATCCTTCCTGACCATCCAGTCCTCTTCTTGAAAGAAATTGGGGTCCAGAAAGGTCACAAGTCTTACCCTAGGCTACAAAAATAATCACCAGCAAAACACAGTCCTAACTTTCACTTCCTGACTTTCCAAATCATTATGCCATGTTACTCTGAAAATGTTTCCCAGGTAACCAACATAACAATTTTAAAATATGTGCACTGAGAAACATAAAATACTGCAAGCCCCCAAGGTAAAAACTTATACACAGGAATCTAACAAGTTATTTTAAATACCTAGAAGAGAACAATCTCTTCCATCATAACTTTAGGAAAAATACACAAATGCCTGACTGTAAAAATGGCTCATACCGCCAAGTGTGGTGCCGCATGCCTATAACCCCAAGCAGTCTGGGAAGCTGAGGCAGGAGGATCATAGCTTTGAGCCCAGCCTAGGCAAATCAGGCAAACACATTCTCAAAAATAAAAATAAAAAAGAGCTGGAGCTATTGCTCAGTGTGATGGTCCTAGATTTCAAAAACAACAACCAAACAAACAAAATCACATAACAAGAAAAAGTTTCTTTATCTTAGTATTCAGTAATTTTCCAGCTCACCATAATTTGTATCAAAAGGGTAATAAAGACAGGAAGAAAAGAAAAATTAGGATAAGAAGACCACCTACGTTGGCATATGGAGAGGATACAGACAGTGAGAATACTGTGTCAATGAAGTATACCACTCATCTATAAATGGTCACTTCCCAAGTAAACAGAGTCCTGTTTTTAAAAGGTGATCAAACCAATGCTTTGCAACGTGATTTCTACTATGGCATCAAACTCACTTTCAGCAGAGTACTAAGTGGGACGTTTAAAATACTGGCACCCTACTTTTCCAAAAGAAATTAAATCCCTGCCCTGCCCACCCCAGATCAAGACAAACACCACTGGATCTGGGTTGAATAGGCATTGCCACCATGCATTGCAAACTCTCATTCTGCTCTGCCACTTCCAGGTTGGGTGCCCTTGGAGATTGCTCACCTCCTCTAAGCCTCCTTTTCTCATCGAAAAATGGAGACACTGCACCTACTTCTCAGAGCTGGTGTGCAAATTAAATGAGAAAAGTGCGAAGAGCATTTAACACGAAGGATAGCAC